CAGATTTTCTATTTATTCAGGATTCAGTCTTGGTAGATTGTATGTAGGTCGGAATTTGTCCATTTCTTCGAGGTTGGTCAATTTGTTGACATATAATTATTAATAATAGTCTCTTATGACCCTTTGTGTTTCTGTGGTATCAGTTGTAATGTCTTCTCTTTCATTTCTAATTTTGTTTATTTGAGTCCTCTATCTTTTTTTTTGGCAAGTTCACCTAAAGATTTGTCTATTTTGTTCATGTTTTAAAAATACAGCTCTTAACAGATGTTAGCTCAGGGCCAATCTTCCGCAGGAAAAAGAGGAGGATTGGCAGTGGATGTTAGCTCAGGGCTAATCTTCCTAAAAAAAAAAAATCTTAAAAAATATACAGCTCTTAGTTTCATTGATTTTTTTCTATCATTTTTTAGTTTCTATTTCATTTATTTCCTCTCTGATCTTTGTTATTTCTTTCCTTCTACTAACTTTGGGCTTAGTTTATTCTTCTTTTTCTAGTTCCTTGAGGTGTAAGGTTAGGTTGTTTATTTGACCTCTTTCTTTTTTCCTAATGTAGGTGTTTATTGCTATGAACTTCCCTCTTAGAACTGCTTTTCCTGTATCCCATAAGTTTTTGTATGTTGTATTTCCATTTTCATTGGTCTCAAGATATTTTTTGATTTATCTTTTAATTTTTTTCTTTGACCCATTGATTATTCAGTAGCCTATTGTTTAATCTCTACATATACGTGAATTTTCCAGTTTTCTTCTTGTAATTGATTTCTAATTTCATACCATTGTGGTCAGAAAAGATGCTTGATATTATTTCAGTCTTCTTAAATTTATTAAGACTTGTTTTGTGGCCTAATATATGTTCTGTCCTGGAGAATGTTCCATGTGCACTTGAGAAGAATGTGTATTTTGCTGCTGTTGGATGGACTGTCCTATAAATGTCTAAGTCCATCTCGTCTAATGTGTTGTTTAAGTCTGATGTTTCCTTATTGGTTTTCACACTCAAGTTGCAGAAATGGTTAATGGTGGTGTCAGAATTTGAAGCCAAGTTCTCTCTCTAGGGTCTGTGATAGACAGAATTTTAGATGGCCCCTATGACCTTTGCCTCCTGGTGTTATTCCTATGATTATGACTTGTTTTATGGCAAAATGCATTTTACAGATATAATTAAGGTTTCTAATCTGTTAATCTTAAAAGGGAGATTATGTGAGTGGGACAATCTAAACACACAAACCCTTTAAAGACAGAAGCATTCTCTGGCTGTTGGCAGAAGTTGTTACAGAGATTCAGAGCGTGACAAGGACTCTGTACACCATTGTTGCTTTAAAGACAGACAGCAACATCTGGCTGATAGACAGCAAGGAAAAGGGGACCTCAGATGTAAACCACAAGGATGTAGATTCTGCCAACAATCTGGATGAACTGATGGGAATTCTCTCCCAGAGTCTCCCAGCCGACACCTTGATTCTGGCCTTGTGAGACCCTGAGCAGAGAACCCAGTTGAGCCAATTGCAACCTCTGACCTACAGAACTATGAGATAATAAGTAAGTATTGTTTTAAGACACTAAGTCTGTGGTCATTTATTACACAGCCTAGAAAGCTGATACAGGGCCCATACTATTAGCCCTGACAGTTGCAGTGGCCTCTCTCTCTGTAAGGCTGCATGTGAAGTGCCCCTCACTCTCACCTGGGCTCCTTCTGGCTTTCCTGGTTTCCAACTGCACTGGCCTTTTTCTAGTCATCGTACTTCATTCTTCTTTGCTCAGGACTGATGTGTGTGCTGCTCCCTCTGCCTGGAAAATTCTCCTACCAACCCTCTCCCTTCTCCTAGCCAAGTCCTATTTGTTCTTCAGAATGGAGTTAAAACATCGCTTCCCCAGGGGAGGACTTCTCTGATGCCCCAGACTAGGCTGAGTTGTCTCACAAGACCCTCTGTTTTGCTTTCTTAGCTGTTGCACCATTCGTAAATATATTTATGTGATTTCTTTTGATAAATGTCTCGGTTGGTCTCCCGTTTATTCTCAATCACAGCGTCTAGTTCACAACCATCAAAACAATTTTCCAAATTTTAATTTTTATATTCAGTCATTTGCTTTCCTCTTTATCATAGGTCTTCTCCACTTAAACTCTAAGTTTGTTGAGGACAGGCACCAAGTGCATGTGCTCACCGTTGCATCCTTAGGGCTTAACTCAGTGCCAACCATAGCTAGCATTCGATGTTCCATTTGAGTCCATGAATGAGCAAACTGAGAACTCTGCAATTTCCACTTGGCCGATCCTAATCTCTCCTTCTCTCTCTCTCTCTCTTACACACACACTTACACATGCTACACACTGTTGCCAGCTCTGTTACGGAGCCAAGTATGGATTCATCTGTGCGTTCATTCTTTGCTTTGAATTATTTTTCTACCAATTAAAAAAAATTTCAGAAAAGATGGCTGCAAGTGGTTAAAATAATAAGACAAGTTGCTGGATTATTGCATGGGGTATCTGAATCATGCTCACTTTATTTCAACCATTCAGCTGTTCACAAACCAATAGGTTAGCTTTTAAAATATTTAGAAAGGAGGTGTAAATTGTGGCCTGGGAGAAATCTTAAAGAAGATAAAATATGAACTAGGCTAGAACCTAGGAAGACTGAGTTTGAACTTTGGCTGGGCTAACCTTTGGTTATTAGCAACCTCTCAGCATCTATTTGTCAAATCAGTGTTTGAGACAGATGGATATGAGGTCCATTTTTAATCTAATTTTCTGAAGTTGTGCACCTATGACTGCTCACTTTGGCAATATTATTTTGAAATTATTATATTGTGAAAGTAACTTCTACATGATTAAGAAACAATCCATAAGACTAATAATTTTTATAGATTTACCTCACTTAATAAGGAATGGATGAGTTCCAGCAATGCTGGCATTAAGGTAAATTTTTATTAATCAACTCTGCTTTTCCTTGATCTCTACTAGTCAGTTGTAGATAGGACTCACTAGAAACACTAACCACTAAACCAAATAATATTAATGATAATACTAAGATATTACTAAATACTAAGTATGCAGAAATGAAAATAAGACACAATAAGATAAAAAAGATGCAATAATTGTTTTTTACATGAATCTTCATACCTAGAGAATTTTCAATTCCTTAAGCTCCATCACGCTAGCCCATTTTTTCCCACCAGTTTCAAATTACCTTACCACAGACTGCTTTAAACCAAAGTAATTCTCAACATTTTCCCATAACAAACATTTTTCCAGTCTCTTTTGCTCAACTTTATCTAGTAATCCTGACACAATTGGAGAATGCATTTATTCAGTCATGTATTTGACAGACATTTATTGAGGTTCCACTTTTTGCCAAGCAGGAGAAGATATGAGCACATCAGAAGGAACCGCTTACTTAATTTAGTCATATTGACCCTTTTTACAAAATGTGTTCTGAGACTTGTCACTGTCTCCCACCAAGCTAATGTCCAACAGTTATCAAGAAAAGCATAAATTTATAAATATTGTTGTACTTCCAGCACTAGCCCAACCTATGAAGTTTATCAGGGAGACTCCAGGGAGTCTGAGAAAGAAACTCACAAATCCCATGGAGTAGAGGAGAAAGTCAGGGAGTGGCTTCTGTTAGCAATACATGCTTTGCTTATAGACATAAGTTACAGAAATTGCCTATAACTTGTGCTGTCATAATCCTGATAGAGTGGGTAGGAATGATCGGATATTGAAGAGTGAAGAGAAGGCATGTTCAGAGCCCTGATGAGTGGGAGGATTTGGCTGATGGAAAAGAATGAATCTGATGTGGAGAATAAGGGTAGAAATGGGAAAAAATGACACCCTGCATAAGCTCTTTAGTGTTTCTCCTGTCCTCTACCCTTAAATAAATAGTCCCCTTACATTTGTGCATTTCCATTCTACACAGGAATTCAAAAGGATGTTTTGAGGGTGTGTGTGTGAATACAAGTATAAAAGTGAATATATGCATCAAGGAATTCCTTCAAGGAATCATTGCTAATTGCAGACTATGCTCCGACTGCGTGCTCTTTTAATGTTCTATATGATAACTTGCTTATGATTGCTCTTAATTCAGTGGTTGGTATTTCCCTGTTGTTCCTGTCCCTCTATTGATTTTCGAGGAAAAATTATTTTAAAAAGTGAATATGTATTCATTTTTATACTTATACATATAAGTGAACTTATATGAAATTCTTAAGTTTATTGCCTCTTATCTTTATACCAGACCTCTTTCCTAGACAGTGTTGGCATGAAATTTGTACTTTGGATTTTTTGGAAAGTGTTAAACTTGTACTTAGCCTGCAAGAATTAGCTATCTCAAGTTTAAATGGAAAAAAGATGTAACTTTAAGAAGTTCAGAATGTCTCAAGTCTTTGTTACAAATCAGTAGAGGAACTGGAATTCAAGTGGATAATATATAGAAAATAATATGAAATGGCTTAATTCTGAATTGGAATAGTCGTTGGGGCTCATATTCTGCATGGAAGTAAGCCCCTATCCATGTTCACTGTGGCTGACTTAACTGAAAAATTATGGTTAAAATTTGTTCTCTCTAAAGAGAATGTATTAATGAAGTATAAATTTTTTGGTGTGAAATATGCTCAGTCCAGCAATCTCTTCCACACTAAAATTATAATCGTTATTTGATATGTAATATTAATTCTAATATTACTCTAATTTTTCATTTTTAAGTAGAGGTAATTCTACAATAAAAATAATACATGTACACTATTAGAAGTTTTGAAAGTATAGAAAACTAAAAGGTGGAGGGGGGAAAAGTCCCATGGACTTTTTACATTGGGTTCAACCCAGCTAGCTTGTCACATGTGAAATTTCATAAAGGCAGCAGGAAAAGCCAAAGGGGGTTGTGATTTGCATCATTTGTGAATCACTTATTGCAAGAAGCACTCCTGCAAGGAATTGCAAATTGCAGAGGACGATCAGACTACATTCTGTTTTCATTTTCCATTTGATGATATGTTGTGGCTGCTCTTTTTTCCAGTGGCTATTTTCCGTGTTCTTCCTGTTCCCCTGCTGATTTTAGAAGAATGGTCCTTAGACATTTAAACAAATGCAAAGAAATGTTTGTAAAGTAAAATGCTACAGTACATAGGATGTGAGGACAATCTGACTGTAAGAAATACTGATGAGTTGCCTCACTTGGTGGCCAAGATTTGATTCACAGAGCTGTCTGCCCTGGCATGCAGAGCTCTGGAAGCTGGGAGAAGAGAAAAGACAGCATTCCTGCGGATTCCCAGTCATTTCCAGTCATGCTTCTCTGTGTTTCGGATGTACGGTGAGTCTCCATGGAAAGCCCATATGTAAATTCTCTATATTCACTTACATTGTAACTTAGGAGTAAAGCTGATATAAGTCAAGCTAAAGTTATTATTCTTATAACAATTGCAGTGTATTTTTTAGATTAGACTTCTCCTTTTATTTTGGCGTGGTAATAAAACCAAAAATCAGTAATTAACAGATAACATTAATAAGTCCCATGCCTGATTTCCCTTCAAATTTAAAGACATACCAAGAAGAAAATGAACTTTGGATTTTGGCATGTGTATACCCCCAAAGTCGCTGAACTACGGATTTTTAAATTGTCTTTTGGAAATAATTGACTCTAAGCTACAAATTTTGTTGGCTAAATTTTGTCCCAAAGCCATTTTTTAAACTACTGAGTTTATAACTACTAAAAACAAAGAGTAATAAGGAAAGTGCTGATGACAGCATAATTTACGACAGTGGTGTTTGGGGGTTTTTAAAACTACAGCATCGAAATGGGAATTAGGATGGGTTCCATCCTGGGTTCTCTCATTAGTCTTGTAACAAACTCATTTCATAACCTTGGGTGAGTCACTTGACCTTCTTTGTGCCTTGACTCTCCCTAGGTGCCCTCCCAAAGAGAGAGTGTGGCTTTAAACTAATGAGATGGAAGGTGCCATGACAGCGCAGAGTATCATAGCCTTTCCACCACTCTGGTTTTACTTTTCATGAAGATTATTAACATTTGGCAAAGAGTCATTACTTGACAATTTATTATCCTGTTCAAATCCAGGTAGGTTAAAAGTTTAAACTTTTTATACCAAAAGTCAAGTCTCCTGTGCTTTATAGAAACCCCAGATACCACATGGTAGAAAAAAAGATCATGAATTTCATTCGAAAAGCCTCTTTTTTGGCACATAGGCTCTGCATTATAATGAAATATTCCATTGAAACGTCTGCTCTGGCACCGTGAACGGAGAAAAGTCTTGTGTTTGTATACTCTGTGAAGTTGAACAACAATTTCCAACATATGTTAGGAGAGGCTGCCCTCTTTGGAGATGGGAAAATGGATAGTTCCAGAGGGAAAAGAAAGCCGAGCGCTGAAAAGTTTTTGTTAATCTTTTACTGGTGAAACAGAGCTGGGAACAGAGCAGCCTGTTGGCTGTGGGGAAGGTTGGAGCCAAAAGGCCCAGCCCACAGGAAATGAACGCTGTCCTCCTCAGCGAGGCTACTTAAGCAGAGAGAAAACATTTACAGTACTTGTAATTACGATGGTTTTCGGCACCTAAATTGTCATAAATCACATTTATAAAAGCCATCTTCGCACCAGTCAAATTTTGAAAGCTGCAAAATATATTCAGCTGGTGGGTAGTTTGAAACGGTGGTACATATGTTTGGAATAAATACATGTTATAATTATGGTTTTTAATACTGGGAGGTTTCTTATGAGGATTTATACTCACATACTGATGATAATGGAGTACATTGTGAACATAATGAAGTGGTGATGGGTGGTATTTGTTCCGGCATTTCTACAAAATACTGCTTCCAACTCTAAGGGGTATGTTTCTGTGTAAATCCCCATACATCAAGATAAAAATATACTTCTCTGTGTATTTCCTGGAGCAAACTACCTGGAGAGAAAATACCTGCATTTTCACAACCAATTCATGGATCTTAAAACATAATTATGTCTTATTGCATTGTTGATCCCAGAGCAGTATTTGAATTAAAAAGGAGTGCCAATAGAATTGGTAGAAAGTAAAAGAGCTCTATTTTATAGCCAAGAGCATGGTGGAGTGAAATCTAGTTTTAATAAAAGACTAGTATCATAATAAGCAGATGAGTCTAACTGGTAATTAGAGTTTTTATTACATATGTATTACCTAACTCCAAAGCCAGTCCTACCAAGCAGAGAATGAAGGGGAGAGACCGTCATGGATTAGATAGTTTGGCAGGGTCAAGGAGGAATCTGAATGAACTCTTCACACAGTTCTGACACATTTGGACAACTGTATTTTGGCCTGTGAGAACCGCATCTGAGATGTCTCTTTATAATAATCTTTCATTCAATTATTCACTCATTCAAGAAATATTTGCTAAGCACCTCTTATATGCTAGGCACTAGCCTAGCCCTGAGGCTGTAAATATGAATGAATTGGCATCCAGCCTTTGGGGAGTTTTTGCTTTTGAAGGAAATAAAGCCATAAACAAATAGTTACAACACAACATATTGTGTGCACAAATAGAGGTGTGAGTATAATTTTTGTCTTGACATGCATTTCTGCTATAAACCCTACAATAGATGACATATACGATGGGTTTGCTGCTGCCGGGGACTGGTCAGAGATTATAGGAGCCTGGGTACGGCACTTGTTTAAAACTGAGCTTGGTCAGCAGATTCAGAATGATATCCTATAGCTCTTGGTCTTGCTTCATTTCCATAAGCATTTTAAAAATGTGGATCTCTTCTTACTGCTAATGCATGTATTCCACAGGATCCTTTTCCTATTTTGAAAGTTTGTGTCTTAGACCAGAAAATGTGATTAGACTGCTGAGTTAACAGCCTACTCTGGGAATGCAGGGCCTCATCACAGTAAAATAGGCCGTAGGAGGGTATAATATCAGGATTTTGCTCTCTCTCCAGATACATACCTCTTTCTACCTCCATGTCCCCACCATGTCAGAAAATTCTGCTTTTGGGGCCGGCCCCGTGGCTGAGGGGTCAAGTTTGCCCACTCCACTTTGGCAGCCCAGGGTTCGGATCCTGGGCGCAGACATGGCACCACTCATTAGGCCATGTTGAGGCAGAATCCCACATGCCACAACTAGAAGGACTCACAACTAAAATATACAACTATGTACTGGGGAGATTTGGGGAGAAAAAAGCAGGGGAAAAAAAAGAAAATGCTGCTTTAGAGATTTCGTGCCATTTTTCATTGCTGCTTAGGTACAAATCATCTGCTTCTTAGTGAGATTGAATTTCAGATCCTTTCTTTAGAGCAGATTTTGACTGGGAATGAAAGTAAGAAGGGTAGAAGAAGGAAGAAGAAGATGATGCTCAAGGGGGAGCCTGTGAAGGGAGGCCAGATGGGAGGTTCTGGAGACAAGCCCCACCTTCCCTGTTGGCTTGAAGGTGGCTTGTGGGTGGGCATGCACCCTTTTCGGGTTGGTAGACCCAAGATACACTGTGATGAGGATGGCAATACTCTCTGTTCAGGCTGGTGGAACAACTTCTTTTTGTTTTCTAAGCAAAGTTACAAAGGTATATTTTGGAGGAGCACATCTCTTCAACAGGTGTTAAAAAAATATTTGAGAATCAGTATGTGCCAGGCACTGTGCTAGGAGCTGGAAATAAAATGGGGAGCAAAACAGAGTGTGCTCTCATGAAGTTTATAATCTGATGGGGAAGACAGTGACTAAGCACTCTGAAGCAAGGGAACACAATTTTGTGACGTAGCAGCCAGGAAAATGCATCACACAGAACTCTTGTTATGGGGAATGTATTTGACTGGTGGCCCTTGCTACCCTTCTGGGTACATCCTCATGTTAGCACCAAGACTAAACTTCCCAAGGACTGCTCCCAGCCAGTGAAGGAGCAGAGTTGGATAGTAATGCAAGACTACGCCTGCAACACATACAACGGCTTACTCTTTGAACTCTTAGACGCACAGAGTAGAATGGTGGTTGCTGGTGGCTGAACGGTAGGAGAAATGGTGAGATGTTGGTCAAAGGGTATAAACTTCCAGTTATAGGATGAATAAGTTCCGGGGGTGTGATGTACGGCATGGTGACTATGGTTAACAATACTGTATTGTACTCTTGAAAGTTGTGAGAACAGAGCTTTGATGTTCTCACCACAACAAAAACAACCGTAAAATGGTAATTGTGTGGGATGAAGGATGTTTTGTGGTTAATACTTCACAATATATACATGTATCAAATCATCACTTTGTACACTTTACACTTACACAATGTGATATGACAATTATATTCGAATAAACCTGGGGGACAAAAAGCCGGAGGAACCTCATCAGCTTGATTGAAACTTTCTGAGAACAGTGCTGAGGTCTCAGGCTCTGCCTGCCCCGTCGTCCTCACTTCCCCCTCTCCTTCTCAGGGGTCAGAGTGTGCAGCATGGGCCGAGGCTCTGCCTGGCTTCTCTAGTGCCCCCACCTTTATCCTTCACAGGCATCTCTTGCACAGTTCATCCTTTCTGTCTGCTTTCCAGAGGACCTGAACTAACAAGTGGTATCCTGATCATCTGAGAAAACAGGCAGGAAGATGGGCCTTGGAGACTCCTCACTCACCACCTGACAGGCAAAAAATGCCATCCGGAGTGGCATGTGGGGCACGGGTAATTCCTAACACTAGGCGGTGGCCCAATTGCCAAAGATATTATTGGTGGTGAGCTGAGAAAATGTCCTGGTGGAGGGGAGCACCAAGGAAGGTGCAACCTTCAGGCTTTGACAAAAAGTGGGAAGAGGGAGAGCCGAGCCTGCAAAGGCAGCAGAGTTGACCAGTTAATGCTAAATTGTTTTGACACCCTGCAGAGGGATAATGAAAGAATGAGCGCTGTTAACAAAGTTAAAGGCTAAATGTGAGAGCACAAAGTCCTCTTTAGTAGCTTTCAGAGAGGCCCTTATCTCCTTCAATGGGAGAGCTGACATAGCTGAGTGGCAGGTGTGGGATCTGATAGTCTCAGAGCTCCGGAGAGATGTTTGAAGTTTGAATGCTCAGCCAAGGCAGGTCTATTATGCTAAAGTTAGGGCCCTGGTCAGGAAAACTTGGGCCCCCAAACATTGGATGGGGACATCTGGATGAACGCCCCTGATTATGGTGGCTCTGTAGACCTCCTTATACCCTCAGAGATTGCAGAGGTGCCTCACTCTTCCCGAGTAAGAACTGGCACTTCTCCCACGTTGGAAGACATAAGACCTCATTCCTACAAGACAAAAGGTGCTCCCTTCAGGAGTTGCCTCTATCTCCTCCTCTTGTTGTCAGGTTAAAAACTAGCATTAAGTTCCAGCATACATGGCTGGGCATGTGCTGGCCCTGATAAGGGAGGAAGGAGATTACACACTGAGGACGTGGTAAGAACTAGCTTGCATAGACCAGTAGTGGCTAGGGAAGCACCCCTGGGATTGGATTTTGAACGTGTTTGACCAAGAAGGCCAGAATATATGACCAAATAAGCAAGAATTTCTTGACTTTCAGATTGTGGATTTAACATGCTGGCAAAGATCGCAGGGGATAGGACAAATTTACTGCTAGCATGGCTCTTAGAAGTGTAGAGAAAGTGCTGGTCAATGCTGAGTGGAATGGAAATGCCTGAGTTGTCCAAGCACACGATACAGGAAGGAATAAAGAGTCTGGGAGAGATAGTCATGCTAGAATGGATACATTATGTCAGGTCAAAAGACTTACTAGAGGATTATGTTCAATGAGAGGGCCCAGAGGACACCACTTAGCAAGGCCACTAGAAATGAGCTGATGAGAGGGGTACAGCATCACTAAATGCTTTGTGGTGACAAGCCCCAGTGGAAGAATTGCAATGCAGGCCTCTGGGATTTTGGAACAAGTCCATGTCTTTTGCAGCAAAGAATTATGTGCCTTTTCACTAGTAGCCACAGACATGTTACTGTGCCCTGGTAGAAATGAAACACTTGACCATGGACACCAACTGACTATGTACCTAGAGCTGCCCATTATTGGCTGTATTCTGCCAGCATCACCAAGCCATGAAATCAGATTAATGGAGCAGCAGCAACAGTCTATCTTAAGCTGG